GGGAGGGCAGGGTAACCCCCTGAAGCTGAAACAGGGACCCCCGCCCCGCCCCCAGGGATGGCCAGAAACTCAGCCCCGGAGAGCAAAGCTCTCTTCCCACAGGACATGGTGAGCTCCCCTTCCCACCCGGATGCCTGGGTCCCCTGGCCTGGCCTCACCATTCCTCTAGCAGCAGGGTCAGCTCCCCGTCCCCACCTGGACGCCTGGGTCCCCCGACCAGGCCTCACGGTTCCTCCAGCAGCTGGGTGAGCTCCCCCGTCCCCATCCGGACGCCTGGGTTCCCACCGACCGGCCTCACGGTTCCTCCAGCAGCTGGGTGAGCTCCCCCTCCCCACCCGGATGCCTGGGTCCCCCGACCAGGCCTCACCGTTCCTCCAGCGGCTGGGTGAGCTCCCCCGTCCCCACCCAGACGCCTGGGTCCCCCAGCCCGGCCTCACCGTTCCTCCAGCGGCTCAGCTCAGCCTCCAGCTTCCCGATCGTCTCCTTCAGCGTCTTGTTCTTCTCCTTCTCCTTCTCATACTTCTTCTTCCACTGCTCGGCCGTCAGCTCCAGGTTCACCGACGCTGTGTTCTTGATGGTCTTGGCCCTGGAGGGGAGGCGGGGAGGTCCCTTTCACATGGAGCCCACGAACCAGCCCCGCCCCCCAGCCGTGCCCCCCACTCTCCAGCGCTGCCTCCCGGGGCCAGAGCCCCCCGGGGAGTCGATCCCCAAGCCGCAATGATCTCTCCAGCTGGGGTTTCCCCTGAACTCCTCCTAGCGCCCCCTCTGGTTCCCCCCCCGGCTCTGCCCACCCCCTGGATCTGGGACACCCCGACATGGGGAACCAAGCAACCCCAGTCCAGCCCTCAGCCTCTCCTGGCACCTGCCCCGGCAGCTCCTGAGAGGATTTAGGGCCACTCCAGGCTCCCTTCCGGGTTGGGGCGACTGTGACCGGCTGCGGTGGGGTGGGGGGAATCCAGCCTGCTGCTCCCGGCCCATCCCCAGGGGGATTTGCAGCGCCAGAGCCCAGCACACACAGGCGGGTGGGGGAGTTGCACCGGGGTAGCGGGTGGGCAGCGGGCGGCCCCACAGGGAGGGGCCTGCGGGCCCAGCGAGCGGGGAGACCCCCGGGGTAGCAGGTGGGCACCGGCTGGCACCAGAGGGAGGGGGGACCCCAGGGGTAGCAGGCGGGCGGCGCCGCGGGCGTTGTTCCGGTACCGTTGGCCAAACATGAGGGTGGACTTGGTCTCGGCGTCGTTGTAGCTGGAAGGCGAGCAGCAGATGAACATGGTCGTGCGGCAGTTCCCGCCCAGCGAGTCCTGCAGGATCCGCGTCATCTTGCTGTCCCGGTAGGGCACGTAGCTCTTCTGCAAGGGGCGCGGGAGGGGAGTTATGGGGGGGAGGGGGGCGCTGGGACGAAGCGGGAAGGGTCTGTAACAGGTTTTTGACCCCGATGTGTGCCTGCCCAGCAGACCCTGGGCACTCCCTGTGGCCGGGGGACTCGCCAGCCTGCAGAGGGCAAGGGGGGCTCGCGGAGTCCACAGCCGAGCGTGTGAGCCACCAGTGGCCGGCAGGGCCTGGGCGGGTCTCCCCCAGTAGGCACAGCCAGGGCGCTCTCAGGCTGTGAGCAGGTGGGAGTGATTCGCCCCGACACCTTGGGTCACCCCGGAAAAATCATGGGGGCACCTCGGGGCAGGTGGGAGGGGCACAGAGGGGAGGTTATGGGAGGGGTGTCCTGGGGTGGGAGGGACACCCTGGGGCACAGAGTGGCTGGGGGGAGGGAGGGGTGCCCAGGGCACAGGAGGGCTATGGGAGGGGTGCCGTGGGGCACAGAAG